CAAAGAAGGACTTAGAGCAAGTTAGTGGAATATTATAACCATAATTAAGAACTTTAAATTTTGATGAATTAACTAATGTATATAATTATGTATAAAGCATAGGGAACATTAGATGATCACATGAGTTGCTAAACATTTTTGCATTGCCTTCCTAATCAAGATAATTTGGATTCTTTAAGTGATGATCATATGTGTCCATATAAAAGAAAATATATAATAGATCAATTAAAGAATGTCATTAATTAAGGTCAAGGTATATCTCTTGGTATTAAATAGGAATAAATTTATCATTATTAAGAGCATTACAAAAACGAACTGATTCCTGCGAAAAGAAAAGTGACATTAATGCCTTGACTGATGATGAAAATATCTCGAATAGAGGATTAGAATAAATTAAAACTGTCATGGATAAGTATTAGGAAAGACAATAAAAAATTCAAAGATATAAAAATAAAAGAAGAAATTGGGAAAGAAAAATATCTTACTCAGGAAGATCTTAAGTTGCTGAATAACGCTTAAGAATTAAAGGAAGATTCATAAGTAAAGAGGATTAATAATCAATTAAAAAATTGATATGTAATAAGTAATAGGAAGATTTTTATGATAAAAAACATAACTTAAATATTGAAAAATTTCATTAGCATACAAAATTATTTACATATGCAGAGGATCCTAAAATGATCCCAAAAAAATAAATCTTAATGGACATCAGAGACGAGTTCCAATTTCAATAATAATAACTAAAGATACTAAAATCAATAAAGAATAAAACTAAAATTTTTGAAATTGTTTAGAAACAAAAATCTTGAAGCAATTATATTATATATTAGAAAATATTAATTTTTATTATAATATGTACATATAAATTGTATTAGAAATTAATTTAAAAAAATGAATAATAACAATATCAAAATTGAAGTTATTACTTGTTCCTTATTTCAGGTTTTGACTTCGCATTAGTAAATGTTTGCTTAAGAAGATTTTCAAAGTTTGTTTATAACTAAAGATTTGTTAAACCTTACTTTGTATTTTTTTTTTGAGTTTTTTTAATTAATTTATCTATAATAGCTTTATTTATTGTGGGATTATTTTGATTTTTTTCTAAATCTTTGGTAAAATAAAATTGAGAAGAGAACATAGGTTGGAAGGCAATATTTAATTTTTGTTCTCTTTGTAATAATTCAAAGAAATGTTTGTCATTTGAATTCATTTACTTGATATTTAATTTGAGTAGATCAGGAATATATGGAGGTTTAACTTACTTATTAATATAAGAAAGTAAATCAACATCTTTAAACCATCTATGTGAAAAGATTTCATCGATTCCAAAGCGTGAACCTAATCTTTTATTAGGATCTTTAATCATTAATTATCTTATTAAATCTTTAATATCTGTACTTAAATAATCTGGGAATTCAACTTATTCTTTGAGTAATCTGGCATATATGATATTTTTATCTTCAGAATAGAAAGGAGGCAATCCAGTAACGAATTCATATAATAGACATCCTAAACAATAATAATCAACTAATTAAGTATGTCCTGCTGTTTAAAACATTTCTGGAGCCATATATTCAGGTGAACCACAGAAAGAATAAGCACATGTATCCTTATTCATATTGGGTCTAGCTAAACCAAAATCAGCTAATTAAATGTGGCCACTAGAATCAATTAGAATATTTTCAGGTTTAATGTCTCTATAAATAATTTATTCATTATGCAAGAATCCAATAGCTAAGATTACTTCAATTATATAAAATTTAGCTTGTTATTCTGATAATCTTTAGAGTTTCTTAATAAAGTTAAACATTTCTCCTCCTGGACAATATTCTATACCAAAAACAATCCAATTTTTGGTTTCGAATGCACATTCAATTTGATTAGTAAAAATAGAACCACTATATGTACTTTAAATAAGAATATCTCTTTCATTTAATATTAAATCTTATTTTTGATGTTATTAGATGAATTATTTATTAATTAATTTCAGGGCAACAAATTTACCATCAATAAGAGATCTAGCTAGGATAACAGTAGAGAATCCTCCTTTACCAATAATAGAAATAAATAAAAAAGTACTTAGATTAATTCTTTTAATATTTTGAAAGTAAATAGGTTTTAATCTAATAGTTTTATTAAGAAAAGAATCCATTGGTAAATTATTTTATTATAAATAGTAATCAATAGCATAGTTTTCATCTAAAGTTGAGAAACCAATAATGGAATTGTTATTGTATTATTTTTATTTCAAGAGATTAATAATTTTATCAGTAGTAACATTGGGAGTGAATCTATAATTTTGAATTTCTTCTTATGAGAAATGAATATAGATAGAGATCTCTTATTTCTAAATTTTATCTTAAGATTATGATTTAGTGATTCCAGTGTACATAGTAGTACCAACTAGTTCTTCCATACTATTTCTTCTAGTCATAGAGCCTTAAATAGGTTTAAGTTATTAAGTATGTTATTATTAAGGATTGGAGTTTTTTTGAGTTAGAAGTAAATTAACACCTTTAGTAATATGAAAAAAGTTTTCAGTTGGAATACGTAATTATTTAGTAATAGGTCTGTTTTTATCTTTGGAAATAGATTTTTATGATTTTTATAGACTATTAACTCTTTCAGTCAAGCTACCATTATTAGTTTTGGTAATGTAATTGGATTTAACAACAAAATCTTCAATTAGACCTTGAGATATTTTTCTATTAGGGAATCTTTAAGGAGAGATCAAGGTATTTTTGGAGATAGGAGTTTTTTATTAAACAGTGATTCTGGATGGAGAAATAAGTATATTATGATGTTGTTGCATAATAATATAATATTAATAATGTAATATAAAAGATAAAAAGAAATAGGATGAGAAGAGTGGAGATAGAATAGTTGAGAAAAGAAAGGAGATGTGGATTGTTGATAAAAATATATATGTAAAAGTTAGAGTAAATAATTATATATTAATTTATGGAATAACATTTTGATTAATATCATGAGGAATAATAAGGTGATATAATAGATGATGATGTTAATAAGACTGGATTAAATAAGGAAGTACCTTATGAAGAATTAAGTGGAGATGAGGCTATGGAATAATCATTTAGTGTTAATTCTTAATATATGGGGATGAATAGAAAAGCCAAAACTAATTTATTGATGTCTAGTATGATAGTTACTAAAAGCATATTAGGCGTAGGAATCCTAGGATTAGTAATTAATGTACATCTATATAGCCTTATGTTACATACAATTTTGGGGTACTTTTCACATTAATTCTTATTATCGCATTCTATTGGTAAACTTAATACTGTACAAACATGTTTTTATAATGTAAAAATTTATCAAGAAGAAGTAATATATCAACAATTGGATTTGCAGCATTTAAATCTAAGGGGATTATTGTGTTTATCAATTTAATAATAATAATCAATAATTTTGGTTTATGTTTTGCAGAAATGATTATACAAGGAACAGCAGCTTAAAATTGTGTTAAATCACTTTTTAATGCTTATGATGGAGAGTGGTATACAGAAAGATAATTTCTAAGTTCAATCTCAGCATTAATAATGATTCCTATGATGGTAATTAAAAAAATAGAAAAACTTAAATTTGCAGGTGTGACTGCTATATTTGCAATGAGTTTATTTTGTATAACATTAATTACAAGTTTTATAAGTACTATTTAAAATGAGGGATTTGCTTTAGGATTTGCTTTATTACCTTATGATTTTACATTTATAAAGGCATTTGGAGCATTTCCTACATTATTATTAGCATATAATTGGGAATTTAATTTATTTCCAGTTGCTAAAGGAATGGATAAACCAAATGATAAGAAAGTAATGAAAGCTTGTTCTTTTGGAATGATAATAGCAACATGTTTTTATTTATTAGTTGGTATTATGGGTTGTGCTATTTATGGTAAAGATTCAGAGACTAATTTTTTGGCAAGTGTTAATAAAGAAAAAATGGGTATAATATAATTCTATCTATTGAATGGTTCATTTTATGTATCAACTGTATTGACTACACCATTAGTATTCTTTGGAGCTAGAAATAACTTTTTATAATTAATAAAAGGAGAAAAAAAGAATAAAGTTAAAGGAGTTAATTTTGATTCTTTAGATGAAAAAGAAATTGCTTTACTTAAAAAAAATAAAAAAAAGAGATAATAATCTAATAAATATATGTATTACATTTGGTCTATTGGACTATTTGTAATTATTACTATTGGATCTATTTATATTCATTCTTTAGAAATTGCATTTAATTTTGTAGGTTCTGTTTCATCTAATTCTATTGGATGTGTTTTACCTAGTCTATTTTTATTTATGTTGATGAAATAAAATTATTAGAACAAATCAATGACTAAAATGGAAAGTTTATAAGAAAGCCTTGCTAAACTATTTTTTGTTTATTCTGTAATCATGTCATTTGTTTGTCTAACAAGTGAGATTCTAACAACCATTTATTAATGATATGTAAAAATTTATATTATATAACATATATATTTCAATCTAATAAATAATACCTAATTTGATAATTTAAATCTAACTATAATTAGAAGAATAATATTTTACTTCATTTAAATATAGAAATTCACTAAAATTTGTTGATTTTCCATTCATTTTAATTAATTTAAATTCTTAATCTGATGTATGACAAATCCTGACTTATTATTAAATTGCTTAATTAACAAAAATAATGATTATTAATCATAATCTATTAAGAATATTATGATTTTCATTTATACAACTTTATGAACACTTGAAAAAACTTTAGACGATAGATGATAAACTTGAATTATATTCATAAACCAGAAGAAGAACTTAGGAAAGAGATAAATAAATAGATCAATTGAGAGAAGAAATTGATTGATTTAATTATTGAATCTAATAATAAATTATGAATAACTTATTTTATTCAATAATAATTCTTACTATTTATTAAGTAAATCCAGATGATCATTAATGAATTTGAATTTCAAACTACAAAAATTATACAATAAGAATTATGTCATTTAATAAAATCTAAATGTTGATAAAATTAGTCTAACATCAGTTATATAAATTGTAAATAATAAAATTGGATTCAATTTTTATTAGAATGAAACTATCAATTAAAATAAGGATTCATCATAATATTCTAAATGAGCATTTAGAATATAATTAAAATGATTCATTTCTAAAGTAACAATTCAGATATCTAAGATGAAGTTGATGTATATTATATGAATAAATTAATACAAATGATTATTTTCATTAGTATTTATGGCTTGATTATTTGGTTACTATATGATGAAGATATTCTGTGAATTTTGTTATCTATTATTTTATTCTTATAATTATTATATGGAAGATTAGATCGATAACGAATTTTTGGATGAAAATTAACCAAATCAAGATTTATAAGAGTGTGAACTTTGTCAAAGGAAGTTTCATCCCGAAAGAATTGAAAGACATCTTATTGCTTGTTAATAGGCACAAATAAAATAACAAGAAAGAGATAAAATAATATAAAAAAAGAAAAAGCAAATTGAACAAAAAAAATAACAACTTCAATAAACGTAAGTTGAAATTGTTAAAACGAATTGGAGGGAAGAGCATTAAAAATTTTAGGAATAAATCTAATATAACCGAAAATTAAAATAAGTAATAACAGCATTATATATGAAGTTAGAAAAGGAAGGATAGGATATAAATCAATTAAAACAACCAGAAACTAAAATAAATTCCAATTATGTTTTTTGTGAATCTTGTGAAAGACATTTTGATAAAAGTAATTATAAATAATGATATTTAGATGTTGCTGAAAGACATATACCAAAATGTAAAGAAATAAAAGCTAAGCCTAAACCACCAAGAAAGAAGACAGTAGAAACGATTTAACCTTCATAACCCTAGTTATAAGAAAAAAGATAAGCATAAATTAGTACTCCTTCTACATCAAGTTAAATGGAAAGGAAACCAATTATAAAAAAATAATTATCAGATTCATCATAATAATTTAGACCTACTAGTTTATAAAAATTTATAGCTGAGTAATCTGGCAAAGCAAATTTAACAAACATAGGTATCTTATAAAAAGTTATGACTAGGTTTTATTGATTGTAAAGCAAGAGCAACAGCTATACAAGATACAGAATGTCCACATTGTAATAGAAGATTTATATCTAGAGCTGCGGAAAGACATATTCCTATTTGTGAAAAATTAACTAGAAAACACTCTTTTTGTAAGAATATTAAATCAATAATTAGAAATAAAATATCACAATAGAAAGAGTGTTCCTATTAAATAGAATAATTTAATGGTAGTAGCACCTACATCAATTTTACCTTAAATTTAAAGAAAAGTGAATAAGTAGTTAGATGCAGGAACTTTACCTCCAATAGGGAATAGTTAAAAGTTTTGTACAGAATGTGGAAATAGATTTTAGGCAAATCATAAATATTGTGGTGGATGTGGACATAAAAGAGAACCTGAAATAGTAATTTGAAATATGTTTATTCATTACAACTTCAGATTTTATTTATATAAAACAGTTTTTCTTTTTTTATTTCCTGTATTTCTAGTTATTTATTTTTTTTGTTATTCTCTTTGTTTATGTGTCAATTAATTGATTTCTGGTGGCATATCTTTATTTTTAATATATTCTTCAATTTGATTGATTTCTACTGGGAGATATGATTCCTCTTTAATTTTATTAAATTATTCTAATAAAATATCTAAGGTTGATTGATTATCTCCATTAGTGATTTGAAGTACTTAATTATGTTTTTTAAATTTTTTAAGCATATATCTAATAAGAGTCATATAGAAATGTTTGGCTGCTAAATGGAAACAGTTATTTCCTAATTTATCTTTAGATAATAAAGAAAGTTTAGTATTTTTTAAGAGAAAGCGAACAATTTCAATTTCCCCATAATAACATGCTCTATGAATAGCAGTTTATCCTTCATTATTTTTTAAATAAATATTAATGCCAGGAACATTAAATAAGACTTAAACTAATTCAATATTTCCACTTGCACAAGCAGCAATAAAAATACTAGCACCTCCATTTTCTTTAGTATTAACTTTAGCACCAACACTAATTAGATATTAAATGATTTCAATATTTTGATTAATAGTAGCAATCATAAGAGATGTATCTCCTTATGGATTTTTATCTTCTAGAAGAGTTGTTAATTGATTTTCATCAGTAGAATCTATTACATATTTTACAATAGCTAATTAATTCATTCTAACAGCTAACATTAAAGAGTTTTCTCCTTGAAAAATAGATGTGAAATTGTAATTAGTAGATTAGGATATTTATTAAAGTAAATCTAAATCACCATTAATAATCGCATTTGCAATTTTATCTTGTGTAGTTTAAGAGAAGAATTTGATAGTAGTTTCAGGTAATCCAATTGCATGTAAACCTTTAATAATATAATTTCCCATTTTAAATAAATTATAATATAATATTAATTATTTAGATTAGATTTATCATAATTCACCATTATTAATAAATGTCCAACCTCCTAGATGTGCTTTAGATTCATCTACAATACTTTGCATATCAAAAACATTTCCATCAATTTTAGTATTAATCCTAATTTTCCGATTTGGTTTAGGCATAGGTAATTCTCTATTTTATACTATTTCCCAATTAACATCTTAAAAATATTAATGTGCTTTGATTTCTTCAGAATCTCCTTTACCTGAACCTAAGCGTTTAGCAGGATTTCTTTATAATAACTAATAAAATATTAAAAAAAAGAGTGAATACTGCTTTCAATAGATTTTTAGCCTCACTAGAAATATATGAAGGTATTTTAAGTTAAGCATTTTCAATATTGTAAAATAATTCTTCTCTATTATTAGCATAATAAGGAGGTAATCCAACAAGTAATTCATACATTACAACACCTAATAAATACCAATCAACAGCTTTTCCATGTCCACATCTTTTTAACATTTCAGGTGCTAAATAAGCCACTGATCCACAAAATGATCTTGCTCCAGTATTAGGTTCTAAGATTCCTTCTTTAGATAATCCAAAATCTGTTAATAATGCATGACCTTCACTATCTAAAACTATATTATCTGGTTTTAAATCTCTAAATATTATATCTCTTTTATGCAAGTCTTCCAATGCCAATACAATCTCACATAAATAATTCTTCACTATATTTTCAGCAAGTCTTTTCTATTTTTATAAAACCTCTCCAAGATCACCTCCAGGACAATAATCTAAAATCATAAACAATTTATCCTATGTTTAAAATGCAAATCTTAATTTAACTATAAAGGGATGTGATGTTATAGACAATACATTTCTTTCAGTCAAAGCATATCTAGTTAAATTATGTTCTAATTTATATATAAATATATATTTTACTCATTATTCTACTTTTATGAAGTACTTTCATTGCATATAACTAATTACTTTTCTATACTAAATATACTTCTCCAAAACTTCCTTTACCTATTAATCCTATTACTTAAAACTATTAAGGTCCTATCTTTTCTTCTTCTTTATTCTTTATTGAATCTGAATTTGTTGAAACTGTATTTGTTAATTATTATTTTGCTGAATGAGTTGAATTTATTTTATTTAATCTCTCCTATTTAATCTCTTATTATGTACGATTATTTGGAGATGATGACTATTTATTTACAACATTTAAATTTTTGCATGAATAACAACTATTCAATTATCCAAAATGTTATTATGTCTATTATATTTACTATTAAACTATTCCTTATTATTATTAAGAATTTAATTATCCTCTTTTGAATTAAAACATCTTTTAAATTACATCATTCTATGTATTCTATATTTAAACCATATTCATTTTTTACTCTTAAATATTACATATAAAACTTACATTATTTTTTAACATCTTCATTATAATTCTAAAATAAACGTTAAATATCTTCATTTGTTGCATAATATTCAGGTGTTTTATAATCTTTGTTCATTTTAAATTATATTGATTGTCTTTTCAATAACAAATGAACAATTATTTTATGATTCTACTTACAACCATAATGTAATGCTGTATTACCTTAAGAATCTTAATGATTGATATCTGAACCTGCATTCATTAAAATCATTAATACTTCCTCTTATCCACTTATAATTTATTATATAATGAATACTTAATAGCAGCAATAATTAATGGAGTCATATGATCTTTATTTTATGCATCTATTGCTATTTATTTAAATATTAATGCTGATGTTAATTATGCATTTCCATTTTTAGCTGCATAATGAAGTGCTGTATTATCTTACAAGTCTTTTGCTGTCAAAGAAGCTCTTAGTTCTGAATTAATCTTCTATCTTGGAGGCAATTTCACTATGAGTCATTTATTTATTTATACAAATATTATGAACCAATGTAGGTTCCAATAATTACAAGCATCCTCCTGTATTATTATTCTTACTCTCTTTTATAAACCATTAATTTAATTATTTTTTTATATCCTCCAACTCACCCATTCTTGGAGATGTTGCCTCTACTGTTTTTGTTATACCTTAACTACTTATTGGTATTTTAGGTTCATCTGCTTAACTTGTTTATCTCTTAGAACTTGACACTTTCCTGTTTTATAAAAATGGAACCAATTTATGTTAAGAATGAGAACGATCAGTTGATGATTTTGTTTATTATTTTAATTGAGAAACTGTCTTTGGTGTCATTATTTTTGAAGCATTAGTCTATGACTTTGCTTAACTTAATCTCCTATTATTTGCATCTTGAATTTGTTTTAATTTATCTAGATACTCTTAAAGACTTGGTTTGCTATTACTGTTAATATTCATTTATTATTTTATAAAATAATATAACAATTTATTACTATCAATTAACCAAATTATTTAAATCTTTATTTCAACATAATTAAATTATATGTAATTATTATACACACTTCTACTCATTAATTATGTATAAAACCATCTTATTTAAATGCTTTTAAATCTTAAAGTAAATTGATATTATTTTAAACAAATCTTATTTTTCTATAATCATTATCAAATTCATCATTTAAACTTAATTTATTTTCACATACTAATATCTTTAAATCATGATTTAGTATTTTTGTTACTAATTTTAGGTTTGAATCATACTAGTTTCTAATAATAATTATGGATTAAAGTATCTGAACTAAATTGATATTTTTTAGATAGATTTGTTTGAAATATTAAAATTAAAATAAATTATTTAACCTTGAGTAATATTTATAAAGGTTTTATAATAAATTTTAAAAATATCAAAAAAAATACATTCATCTTTTTTATTACAATTGTTACAGTTTTATCATTCTCATTCTTTTTGATTGTTCAATTGAATTAAATTAAAGTGATTAAGGATTCTATTATTAGTATCTTTAATCTTGTTATTAAAAATATTAAGTTCTTTCTTAATTCTAATTCTAATTCTAATTTTAATTTTATTCTTGATTGTATTGTTAACGCAAAGTTTCTATGTTAAAATTTCAATTATACAATAAAACTAAGATTAATGAGTCTATTATTATTCTATGATATTTTAAGCTGGTTTTAATGGTCCATAAACAAATCTATCTTTATCATCAGCTGGATTGTATAAAAATGGATGAGGATTACCTAATGAATAAAAGAAATTTAATACTTGAAATTGATTTCTAGTATTCTATTTATTCTTAAGTCAAAGGAGGTGAAGATAATGGATAATATTTAATGTTCTTATTGTTTAAATGTTTAATTTCATATTGATTTAATGTTTATTACATGTCTAAATAAGATAAAATTCATACTTCCAATCGTATCTTCAATACCACCTAATTATTGTATATTTTATTTAAATAATTTCACTTATTCAGGAGGAGAGGGATCATTTAATGCTTAGAGATATTAAATTTATCTCTTTTAAAATTCACTAACATCATGTGGATCTCTAAAATAAGTTGGCTACTTATTAATTTAACCTAATTAATTTGAATTCACATTGAAATCTAAATAATTATTAGGAATAGGAACAAATTAATTCCCCAACATATGATCCATTAATAAATGCTTTTGTTAGATTGGTTTATTATTCTCTTATTGAATCTTTGCATTCTCAAGTGTTTATGAATATTAAAGCAATTATCTATATTATATTGTATCTCTACCCTTAATCTGCAAATAGAGTTTAACGAGAAAAATGATCAAGCAAAGTATTTTATTGCGGAATATTCAATTACTATTATTGATAAGTTGATTATTATGGATAAGCCTAACCAAAATTCTAACAAACTCTAATAATCATTTAAAGATAATACTCTCGATCAAATTATTCCATTACTTATGGAAATTAATCAGGATTCTTTATATTAGGGTTTTAACAAAAGTTGGATGCTGTTTATTTAAAAACTATGTAATATTTTATTATATTTACAATCCTTCTCCATTTAATTGGTTGTTATATTTAATAATAATACTTAAATATTAATATAATATTAAATAAAATATTTGTCTAGAATTGTTTTAATTGCAATGATTTTATTGATTGAAATTTAAACATTTCTATAAAAAAAGATAATAATCATAAAATATTAAATTGACTTCTCATCATTGAAAAATTCTAATTTAGGAGAAAATACTTCTGATAAGTAATCTTTGTTTTCTTCTTATTTTTCAAAAGACCAATCTTCTAATTTGAAATCAGAAACTTTTGGTTATATGTTGAGTATTTCAAGTTTTGATTGTGGTATTTCTGTAGCTTATTATGAAAATATTTATTAAAGTTATTCCTACTTTTCTGATTTTTAATCAATTGATTAAACTTATTATTGTCTTTTCCTTTTTTGCTCTTCAAATTTTACTTTTTACAATTAATTTAAAATTCCTTTATTGTATAATATTTCATTAACCTAATATTTGATATCGAAATTTCTAATGAATTCATCCTACCATGCCTTACTAGCTTTAAAATTTGGAATATTAAATAATTCAATAGCTTTCTATTTTAACTAAGATCTTCTAACCCTTCTTCTTAATTCCACACTCTCTCTTATAATCCATTATCTTAATTCCTCCTCTGCTTTAGTATTAAGTTTCTTTCTACCACATCCTGGTTTACGAGCAATTCCGTCTTAATACCATCTTCTTAAGTTTTTAATAGATGTGTTGTATTTCTCACTTAATATTTAATACATTTCTAAAGAAGAGTCCTTTTATAAACTCTCTAAAATCTGTTATTTATCTTCCTAATTTAAGATATTGTATTTCTTTAAAGCTTTATTCTTCTTATTTTAACGCTTGGTATTAGAGTTGCTGCTATTGTTATAGTTCATTACAAGTGATAATATTATTAAGGAATTTTATTTAAAGGGGGAGGTTAAGGTTGCACAAATCCTTTTATTAATTGGATATATATATTATTATTATTATTATTATTAATAATAATAATATTATTTTAACAATCTTATAATTTTAAATTAAATTCGAATAACAAGACAATTATAGATTTACTAATAAAAATTGCAATTTTAAATATTATATATTAATATTTCAATTATAAATTAATTCTTAGCAGATTCTCTTTATCTTTAATTGAATTAAAAAAGATTGTCCTCAAACAATTCACTTCATCTAAGAATTTATAAAATCAATATATAATTGTTATCTATATTTTTGTTATTTCAGTATGATAATCAGTATTTTGATACTAAAACATAAACATTCAACAAATAAAATATTTTTATAACTAAATTAAAATGCCATCATAGATATAACATTTAAATCATTATTTCTTAGTTTATTTTAAAGCCCCTTTCTTGCATGGTTTTTTGAATGCCCAATCAACTTGAACTTTTTTACCACAGATTCCTTCTGATTTATTTACACCATTCAAAGCATCTTAAGCATGAGCAAAATCACTAAATTCAACTAATGCATAACTAATTATTAATTAGCTTCTACCCTTTAACAAAACCAGTTCTTCTATCAAGATTTAAATGAAGATTCTTAATTGGACCAAATTTACTAAATGCATCAAATAAATCATCTTCCTAAGCTTCTTCATGAATTCCTGCTATAATTAAAATCCATCCTTCAACAGCTATTTTTATTTTATTTTTATATTCTACATTTCATAGGACCTGGACCATCATCACTTTCCAAAGATTAAAAATTTCCTGCTTCACCTTTATATCTATCAGAATTGTCAATTGCTTATTTTTTCGACATTAATTTATTTAATATGTAGCAATAATAGTATTTAAATTATAATCGAACTTATTTTAAAATAAAAAAAAGAAAATAAATGTTTTACAAAAACATGACAAATTATTAAATTTATACTCTATAATACATAATAGCTTTATTATAAGGGAATTTTAGTATCACTTGTATATACTATAATAAATACATTAAAAGACAATTAGGATTATTCAATACTGAAATCAATTTCATTTCTAAAACATTTTTTAAATTTGAGCTACAGCTATGTTATGATATGATAGTTATTTATGCATTTGTTGAATGGCATAACTTTATTAATAGGATTAATAAATGTATACAACCATACTATTTTTTTTTAAATTGATTAAATTTATCTCTAGATTAAATATATTTACCTAAAGCTTCTGAATAACCATAATTTATTCCATAAATTTATTTTATTTTATCCTAATCAATTATTTATTTTCTTAAAAATCTAAAATATAAGATTATTTTGTATTAATATAAATTAACTTTTGATTATGATATAAATCAATTTTACTATATTATTTATTGCCTTCATCTAAAAAATCATTCATTCTGATAGTATCTATTCGTAAAATCAATTTCAAACTTAATAGAAGTTTTTAATGCTATAATTTATTTTAAATTTGAGAAAGAGCATTTGTACTGTTCTTTTATTGACTAATGATTTTACCAAATTTTTTCAAGATATAATATTATTTTGATTATTGTTTCCTTTTTTAGATTAAATCAATAACAAGGTTTCTATTAATCCTAAACCTAACACAAAATAAAGATTTTTATTGAATTTTTACTCAAATATATCTCAAAATTTACATGAATATTTTATTTATTTAATATCAATGTAAGAATTATCACTTAATAAAATATAAGAAGAAATTCCTTAAATTCGATATCGAAGACCAAATTATCAAATTCCTATTCTAAATAGGATTTCAAATGATATTAAATCAATTCAATTTCCAAACAAAACAATAGTTCAAAATAAGCCCAACGAACATAAATAAATAAAACGTTTAAAACTAATACCCTATACTCCTATATCTCTGTAGTATAATAAATAGGTTCCATATAAATATTCGAAAAGAATTAATTCAAAAAAAATTAAAGAACAAGATTATTTAGATTTTGAAAGTTCCTCTAGATAACTATAATTATTTCTAGAATAAGAAAAAAACCAATTAAAATCTGAGAAATATATATAAGCTTTGCTTGAATGTGTAAGAATGCCATCAGTTAACACTGAAATCAGTAAGGATAATAAATAAACAATTGATAGTTTATTATAATCGTAAGTTGGCTCTAGCGTCAGAATGAATACTTTAAAGCCTCTATTGTTTAATAGAAAAAGGTCAAAATCATATGAGATCTTTGATAAGAACTCTAATTAGAATTTTGATTCTCTCGACTTATAAAAATATTAGATCATTTGATATATTATTTAGTTATGTTGTGTTTTATAACATTATTCATCTCTTAATGGAGTTAATTGATTAATCTAATTTGATTTTTTTTACAATTAGACTGTAAGTATCACTGTCTTGATATTACAATAAATACGCAACTTCTCTCTTAACATTTTTTGCAGGAAATGACTTATAATTTTATAATATCTTATTAAATGATTATTATTTGTCATTACAGATTTGCTTACTGTTTTATTATTTCATTTTTTAACTTATTGCATTAATCTTTTCATTTATTTATTTGTTATTATTATGATTATTATTATTATTATTATTATTATTATTATTATTATTATTATTGTTATTATTATTATTATTATTATTGTTGTTATTATTATTATTATTAATAATATTATTAGTATCATTCTTATTATTCTTATCATTCTCTTCAGATTCATAATCACTACTTTATAAATATTCACTACTACTAGATGACAAAGAAGAAGAAGAAAACTATTCTTGTAATTCATTATCAAATCTAAAATAAATCAATTTAAAAAAAATACTTTTGATCCTTCCTTGTAACTTTCTTTAACTTCTACTGCTCCTTTTGTTTTTTTTGAACTATTTTAGGAACTTATTATTTTTATAACTTAAACTACTTAACTTCATGATTCCATATTAGAATATCTTATTCTAATATTTTCCATTTCATTTTTTCTCTCCTCATAATTTAAGAACACAACAATCTCAGATTTTCAAAATCTAATCTTATTGTTTGCATATCTTTGAAACTATTAAGCTGTTATTTAACAAAAGTGTAACCAGTTCTCTTTATTTTATTAAAAAATAAATACCTGAAGTTAACTAGGTTTCTTCCTATACAATTAATCATCACTTAATGGACGTACATATTTTTCAAAAATAGAATCCTTTGTTAACTATTCTAAATCACCTCCACAAATAGTATATAAATCCTTTAATTTTATCATGATATCGTTTCTTTGACATCTTGAACAAAAACAAATAGCCTAATTTCAATATAAAAAGTACCTAACAAAAAGGACAAACCCAATCAGTCTTTTAAGATACTTCATCTATTTTAATATCATAATTTTATTTTAAACACATTCTACAAAACTTTCTTTAACATATCAACTCTCCATCTAAATTTATAATTGATTTATACTCTTCTTTGAATAAATACTGTATGCCGTTTTTTTTCTATTTGGAACTTATCTTCGACTTTTAATGCCTTCATCATCCACTAAGTATTTTAATAATTTATTACTTTGAGCAAATAAATATGAATCTGTTATTGATGAATTTATTATTGGAAGACCCATAGTTCCACTTCGATAATTACAAGAGATAAGATATTCCTCTCTAAATAACATTTTACAATGATGACAGGCTTCATATCTTAACAAAAATGAATCACTATCACTTGATTAAGCCACTTTAGATTCCTTTGTTAGATTTTTATTAATTAATGGGTTTGGCTTTTATCTATTTTATTGAACTTAATTTATGCCAATAAACTTAATTAATTATATTATGATATACATTTTAAGCTATATGAGAATATTTAGTTTTTTGAGGGATATTATAAAATTTAAATAAAGAAGTATCTCTGAGTTTATCCAATTCGTACATTAAATCCTCATCTATATTTACATAAGTTGAATTTAAAGCTGATTCGAATGCCACACAGAATTAATAACCATTTGGAGAATGTATGGTATTTATAACTTTCACTATTGATTCTGCTGTCTATCTATAGTCTAGTTGTTCTAGACTCTTTCTTAGATATGTCAATAATGCTTCATTATTATATATTATTTAATTCTTGCTTAAACCATTATTGCCTTTGCCTTATTTATATATATGCACTTAAGTTCCAAAGACATTTAAAGGTTACTCGCTTTTTATTTTTTAATTTAAATTTTAGAGATCTTTTTTATTTGATTTATTTAATTATTACAATTCATTAGAATACTCTTATAATTGTTGAAATATTTCATCTTTTTATCCTGTTCTCAACTCAATCTGTTCATTCAACTTATCCAACAATTTATCCAATTAAGCATTTTCTTAAATTAATGCACTTTTATTATATATCTACATTTATACCTGATATTTTTTTATTTAAATTTAACCATTGATTTTTGTTTCATGTAATAAATTTTCTCAATCTAAGGTATTTTTAAAGCTTTTGCTTTATGAATTAGACCACTCAACTTGATATGCTTTTATATATTCTCCCAATAAGTTTTATTTTCTGATTAAATCTGTTATTTATTTAAGATTTATCTTGCTTAATAAAACTTATAATCTGTATATTTCACAGGAAATTCCGTAACAATAGCATCATCATTCATTGCTTTTAAGTATTCAAGACGCTCTTATTCGGGTTCATCCACTTTTTTGAAGTACACTTAGTTTATATGTCTCCAAAAATAACATAATATGTATTCATTCTAATATGAACTATTTATGTAGGAATTGTTCTATGATGTCCTAATCTTTAGCTTTCGTCTAATTATTATGAATATTCTTCTTACTTGGAGTATTTATCATAAATATCAAAATTCCCATTCTTTTTATCTAACTTTATTATTTTCTCAAGATTATTTTTGTTTTAGTTTTTATCAGCATTCAATTAATTTTCTTCGCTCATTCCTAAAATAATAAACTTGAAATAGTAAAATATAAATGTATATACGAATACGAAAGAATATCGTTCAATATTCTTGCTGTATAACAATACCTTTCTTTGATTTCTTCTCTTAGAAAAAGAGTGATATTTATTAAATAAAATAATGAAATCAGGTATAATTTAAATTAATACACTATCCAAAATTATTTACATAGACTCGATCAACGTTACCCCATAAACCAAAGAACAAAAGTGTTGTTGTTATACACATATATATTATACACATTATAATCAAAATACTAACAAACCTTTTGAAAAGCGCATTTCTCTATGGGTTTCGAAACTCTCTAAGAGGCGATTTTTTTTTTTTCAATTTTTATCAAAGAAAAAAGCTTAATAGCTTTTTGGGATATTAAGTGAATATTTAAATTATTCCAAAAAATATATATTTGAAGTTACTACTTAAAATATATTTGAGAATGATTTATAATAATATAATTTGTATTTTCTACCCTGTGTTTATTAAATAATTCAAAATCATTTTAAATAATTTAATATAAGTGTGTGTTTCTGTGGAGGTGAAACATATTATTAAATTTTTAGTAATGAAAATACATCAAATAAATACAAAGTATTCTTACGGTTGTGGGTATATTGAAAAGTGATTAATATTTATTTTAAGATAATTACACATCAGTATATTATTTTATTTGATTAAAAAAATTGTGAATAATTTCTAAAAGATACAATTTACAATCCTTTCATATTCGAAATGGAAATGAATAATTAGATTGTAGGGTTGATTTAATCTTTTGTGAGAGAAAAATATTTTGATAGTAAAAAAGTTTAAAGAATTAGATAGAAGACAGTTAAGATAGATAATTTTGAATGAATAAAATATTAGTTTATAAAGAAATTAATAATTATCAAGTGTTATACGATTATAAATATAATTTAAATTCAAATTAATGGAAGAACCAAAAGGGATTGTCCGTCATTTATAGACATTGTAAGATCCATAATTGTCTCGATCATACAGAGGACATTAAAAAACGTATTGTCTATCATTTGATCCATAAATGAGGTAATTGGCATCTGGAGGGAATGATTCAATAATATATGTCTATAGTTTCAAGCCTTAAGGAAGACCATTTAAATTTAATGGACACAAAGGAGCAGTGTACAGTGTGTAATTTTCACCAGATGGTTAGATAATTGCAAGTGGAGGAGAAGACAGGACAATCAGATTATGGAAGAATTCAGTGTAACTATTTAACAATATAAGTTGTATAGTTTAGGAAAATGTACAGCAATAAAAGGACACATTGGTAGTGTGAGATCATTATCATTTTCTTCAGATAGTAGTATGATAGTGTCTTCTTCTGATGATAAAACAATAAAGGGTTGGAATGTATTAAAGAACAACTTTATGTTTTCATTAGCTGGACATACTAATTGGGTAAGATAAGCAAAGTTATCTCCAGATTCTAGATTAGTAGTTTCTGGTTCAGATGATTCAACTGTTCGTTTATGGGATGTTAATATATCAAAAGAATTATAGAAATTCAAATGTGAAGATTCAATATATACAATTGATTGGATTAGTGATGGAACTACAATATGTGCAGGTTCTTTGGATGGAAAAATTAAGCTATGGGATGCACGTTCAATGAGATTAATTTAATATTATGAATGCAGTAAAAAATCAGTAAATACAATCAATACTCATCCTAGTGGTAATTTTTTATTGTCTGGTGATGATGAAAGCAATCTTAAAATATTTGATCTTAGATAAGGAAGATTAGCATGGTCATTATATTCCCATTCATTACCAATTAAATAGGTGTAATTTAATTATGCAGGAGATTATTTTGCATCAGCAGGATTGGATTCAAATGTTTTAGTTTGGTAATCTAATTTTGATGAAAATATGAAACCTTGTAATGTTATTAATTTTGTTGATAAAAATTTATCAAATGATGACTCATAAACATTAACTTCATCAAATTAATTTAAAGTGCCTTAAACTACATTTAAAGCAAACAAATAATAAAACAAAATAAATTATGAAAACTAGACTTCTTAATCTTTATTGGTGAATCCAACTCATCAAAGTCCATTAGCATAAATGTTATCAACAAAATTTGAGAAAATAGTGTCCTAAATGGACTAAGTAACATAATTAATAGTGTCAATAGATAAAAGGATAAGTTCAAATGAGGATCAAGTGAAAAAATTATTATAAGTAATATATATATAATTGATGTTTAGAATGAGAGAGTTAAATCAATTTTGAGTGTTTATGAAGAATAATATAAGGAACCTTATTAGAAGGCTGCCGTTTGGGAGAATTATAGAAACAAATAATAATAAAATAATAATCAATTGACTTTATAGCAATAATAATAATTGTAAGATTAAGAACCTGTATTTGGAACAGGATCATTTATGAGGGATGGAGAACTGGAGGATTTTCCAGAAGAAAGTGAATAGAAATTAAAATAAGAATATGAAGAAGAAAAGTATAAATTGTAATAAGAACATTTATTGGATACTGATTAAAATCAATAAACATTTAATGTGACTGGAGAATAGAATATTTTTCAAACAGGAGCCTTGGATGGAACTTTGAGCAATTAAAATAATTATAACAATACATTTTCTTTAACATTTACTTAGAGATAGAATTTACAAGATTAGTTGAATAATTTAGGAGATTGGAGGGAATAACTAGAATAAGTATAAAGAGAAGTAATGGAAAACTAATAAGATAATGATTAGTTTATAAGGGAAGTTAATGAAGAGGAAGAGGAATAGTAGGATCAATAAGATATACAATAATAATAAGAGCATTAAGGATAGTAGGTAGAAATTTAAGAGGAAGAACATCCTATTTAAGAAGACTTTCAAGATGAACAAGGAAATTAAGGAGAAGAAGAAATTAGATATCAAGATCAAGGAGCACAAGAATGAACTAATTAATATATATGAATTTTAATGATTTACATTATTAACATGCAATGATTCATGAAAATATTGTTATAATTACAAATGTGCAATAGAATAAAAACAAGGGATAGGCAATCAAGAATCTTCTGTGTTGTAATCCTAAAATCTATAAATAATATAATTTATTTATTTACTGTGTCAAAGGTTTTAGAGACACTAGCAGTAGACCAAATAGCACATACAATAGCTAATGCATATACAAATGAGGAACTATTTATTATATCAAATATAAGTACTCTTATAAAAATATTCTGAGAAATGATAATAAGACTATAGGTGCTAATCCATAACCTAAATAGCTCAATATTTTATAAAACTCTATCTATTTTTCTTGTTATTAGATCATAAAATTCATCAAAAAATAAAGTAAAAGCCAGCCCCATAATCCTATTCCATAAATATAATTGAAATGAACTTTTCCTGTCTGATGAATAAAATAAGTAATTACTAATAATGGTAATAGTCCTAATGATACTACAATTAGTATAGGACCTGACAGATCAGGATCTTCTAAATACTCGCTATCACATTTTTAGAAAAAGAGAACACTCATTATCCTAGATTTTATGAGTAATGGCGATGTAATATCAAGGTCTAATATATTTCTAAATCTATTAGAGTACCCTCTAATAAAGAAATTTCCTCAACGGTTTCATTAGACTGCAATTTAGAGGGCTCGAACAATAATTACTTCTCTTCTTGAGATGCCACGTTGTCACCTAATTTTATTGTTTCGTTTAATTCATCATTTTCTAAAAATTATTATCAAAAGGGATACATATATCGAATGGATTATTCTAGTATTACTTTGGCTTTTCATTTGGATCCATTATACCAAATGGATTTTTGAGTGGCTACATAAATTAATTAATAACATCTTAAATGGTATTGTATTGAATATAACATAAACTGGATCATCACAATAAAATTAAATTGATCTCCAGAAATAAGTAATTATAAAAATCATCTTGCATTCATGGATAGTCGTTTTTTAATATTTTTTATTAAATGAGAAACTCATATTTGCTGTTGATCATTGCCATTACCTTGGTATATGGCTTGGACGAGTCTCTGACCCTTATGAGTTTAGAGCAGATGAATTCTTTAGACACATCCTAATTTGATTGTTCACGTCCCTAGTCTGAATTCATTTAGATGGAAAATTCATTGTCTTAATGGTAAGACTTATTGGAACATAAAGATTATATTGATCATGATATTAAAGTATTACAAGGCATTCAAGCAAAAGTCGGTCTTAAAGCATCACATAAATAAGTGATCAAATCATTAAGTCAACTAAAATTACCTAAAACATCTACCTAAATAGGATTAGCTGAAGTTGAAGCACTTAAACAATAATGTGGATGTCTTAAGAAATCTGATGACAATTGTGATGCTCTATTAAAATTGCTCTCTTATTTCATCCTTTCCCTTAGGAATGTTTAATCTTAATGCTAATCACATCCAATTACTGTAATTAAAATTAAAGGAAAAATCCATGATCTTTAAGTCATAAGAGCTGGTTGTGGAGGCACCATAGATATCAAGGGTGATGAAGGTTGCGATACAAAATCAGAACCTTAATAACCTGCTTCTGATCCAGCCACAGAGCCTACCGAAGACCCTAAAACTGATCCAACAGAAGATCCTAAACCTGAGCCAACTTAAGATGATCCAGTTCCAGATGACTAAAAAGATGCAGAAGAACCTGCAGAAGAAACAACAGAAGAGTCAACAATTGTTGATACAGAAGAAACAGCTGTGACCCCAGAAGAAGGATAAACAGATGAAGAAGCTCCTGTAATTTAAGAGGAAACAGCAGGACCAGAAGAAACAGCAGAACCAGCAGAACCAGAAGAAACAGCTGGTCCAGAAGAAACAGCGGAACCAGAAGAAACAGCGGAACCAGAAGAAACAGCAGGACCAGAAGAAACAGCGGAACCAGAAGAAACAGCAGAACCGGAAGAAACAGCTGGTCCAGAAGAAGGTGTTGCTGATGTTGAAGAAACTGAACCTGGAGTTGAGGAAGAATAATAAGTAGGTACCGAGGAAGGTTAAGTCGAAGAGTAAGTTGGTACTCCAGATGCAGAGGAAGCAGCAGAAGGTTAAGATGCAGAAGAAGAAGTAGATTAATAAGAAGAAATTAATGAACCAGAAGAAGAGATTGATATTTAAGTACCAGAAGAAGGATCAGAAGAAGATATTAGAGATAGTACAGAGGAAGGATAAGAAGAAAGTACAGAGGAACCCGTAGCATAAGGAGAGACAGGAGAAGAAGGATAAGGTTAAAGTGCAGAAGAAGAATAAGATATAAATGCAGAAGAAGGATAAGTTGAAGAAGCACCTGAAGAGACAGTAGCTTAGGCTGAAGAAGAAATGTAAATTGATGAACCAGCTGAAGAAATTGATATTGAAGTACCTGCAGAAGAAGAAGCATGTGAAGAAGAAGAAGAATGGGAATAAGAAGAAGAAGAAGAATAAGTTGGTGAAGGACTAACAGCAGAGGAAGGTGAAGAATCAAGAGAAACACCAGAAGAATAGTAATAAGATGGTGAATAGGGAGAGGAATAATAATCAGAAGCTGAAGAAAGTGCTGTTGGAGAACCTACTTAATTTGATGAAGAATAAAATGAAGAAGCAAGTGGTGAAGAAGCAGGTAGTGATGAGGAAACAGTTAATGATGAAGAAACAGTTAATGATGAAGAAACAGTGGATGAAGAAGAGAGTAATACAGCTGATGAACCAATTCCAGATGATTAATAAGATGAAGAATAAGAAGTATTACCAGAAGGATGTCGATAAGTTCCAGAAGATGTTTTAGATATAAGTTGGTTGAGTACAGAACCAATAGCTGTAAGTGACTTACCAGTTACTGAATCTTAAATTATTGGATTATCTTTCTATTTCAGATGGTTATCTAAATTCCCAGATGCTGTTCCTGAAGGATTGAATCAAGAAACTAAATTCTTTGTTGCTGGTTTAGGAAATGCTTTGAAATTCTATGTTGGACAAGGAGGTTTTCATTTCAGTTCATTTGATGAGAATGGTGTTGAAACTTATAAGAATGCTGGACATGGTGATATTGAAGGATAATGGGTACTTGTCTATTTTGGTATCTCTAATTAAAGAGTTACAGGATTTGCTTAAATATAAGGTTAGGATGTTGAAACTATTGAATTTGATGTCAATTTTACTTTAGATGAATCTTATCAATTAGTGATTGGAGGACCAGATGGTGATGTTAAATCATTTAATGGTTAAATTGCTAGAGTATTTGCATTTAATGATGAATTATATACAGAAGCTAATGAATTTAATTAATTCATTACTAATTGTTATGGAATTCCTAAAAATATCTATAGTGGTAAGAGATTGACCATACCAATTGAAAAGGAGAGAACATTTGTATCTCCAGCTGCCTTTGATTATGATAGTGTCTTTGAAAATAAGAAACCAATGTTACCAGATGAATATTCTGCAAGCGGTTGGTTCAAATGGGAAACACCAAATGATTAAAATATCTGGCATTCAGGTTTCAGATGGACCACTAATAACCAAGAAACTAACCAAAACTTTAGACTCCTTGGAGATAGAGGACTTTCCTTCTTCGTTGGTGATGAAGATAATCTCCAAGGACATGTTGCCTTCTGTACATATTCATATAAAACTGCCAATGGGTATTTATTTAATTAATTATATTTAGCAAATCTAAAGTCAATGATTGCAAAATGGTTAAGTATGGCAACAAATTGACAGAATGGTTCTATGTTTACTTTGGATACAGTAGACATTTGAATAAAGCTTATGGATACATGGAGTTTACACACGAAATGGCTCAAATGGAATTCAAGGATGTTAGACATTATTATGCTGGCAAAATTTATTTCTACCTTGGATAAGACAAATTCTATCCACCTTTCAATGGCAAAGTTCAAGGATTCATGTTGAACTTCTTCGACGGGTCATATAGAACATCCCAATATGATTACAGTATTATTCTATATATTATTCAAAATAGCCTTTGGGTACTTCCCCAGACCTGTTTATGAATACGATGACTCTAAGGAATTGATTCCATCTGAACCTATTCAAAAAAAGAAGTATTAATGATTTCTATTCGAGGTGTCCTAAAGTCGTTGAAATCACTGTTGAAAATGCATCTGATGTTTTATGTGCCTTGAGTAGTTATTTGTCTGCTGTTGCACAAGGACATGATCCTGCCTCCGATTCTAAGGCTGAAACCTTCTGTTTCTGCTTAGTCTATGAGGAAGGTATATTTTATTTATTTTTATTTAGAAAATGCAACCCCTGATTTGCTCATGTTGGCATAATTATTTGGTGGAAAGCCTAAATAAAAATAATCTAATGTTAATTCCTCTATTAAGAAACTCATTGCCAAATAGAATGCACTTTAAAAGTGATTGTTAGAACATTCAACATTATTTTATTAATTAATATACTCCCATACTAAAGTGGATTTTGTTATTTTTCTATATTATTTAATTAATCCTCATGATGAATTTATTTAAGTCTAAAAAAAAAGAAGAACCAAAGAAGAAACTCACTTTTACCATCGTATTTTTATTAATTTAGTTTAGGACAAACTAAACATACTATTTATGACAGCTAAAGAATATATTAATCATGACAAATAGAAGAAGACAAATGAAGCAATGCAACAAGAAAATAAATTAATTTCTATGCTTAAAGCTCCTTAGAGAAATAGAAAAGATGAAGAGGTTCAAATAATCAGAATTGTCAATCTCATTAATACGATTGAAGCCTATGAAAAAGCAATTATGTATAAAAATTTAATTTCATACTCTTAGTCAGATAGGTAACATAGATCAATTTAAGAGTTAAATAGTTTCAAGTTAAGGTGATACTAATAAAGTTTTACAGTTCATGCCGTAATATTAATTTTACTACTGTTAGTTATATTGCCAGTGTTTGTTACTATATTGAAAATACAGGTGATATAAGAGGGGCTGGAGATCTCAAAGAAAAAATGAATGAATATTATGGATGCGATATAGCCAATACTTTTGAAAGAGCAGTTGATCCTAATGCTAAACTATTATTTGGTGTTCTAAATCTCTAATCTCCATCTGTTTAAAAATATGCATAAGATTTTAGCAAAAAATATCAATTTCTTGATGTTCCTGGATTAAACTATTAGTTATAACAATCATAATAATCTTTGAATCCTAATTAATATCCTTAAAATCCTTTGGGAGGCTCGTCGTAGAATTTTCCTTAATAAGGAGGTAGCGGTTATCCATAACAAGGAGGTGGATATCCATAATAAGGAGGTGGTTATACATAATAAAAGGGAGCATATCCATAATAAGGTGGAATCTATCCATAATAAGGAGGCTATCCACAATAATAAGGTGGTTATCCACAATAATAAGGTGGTTATCCATAATAATAAGGAGGATATCCTTAATAATAAGGAGGATATCCTTAATAATAAGGAGGATATCCTTAATAATAAGGAGGATATCCATCATAATAAGGAGGTTATCCATAATAATAAAGTGGTTATCCATAATAATAAGGAGGTTATCCATAACAAGGCAGTAGTTATCCATAATAAGGTGGAGGCTAAGCTTAATAAAATATGGGATATCAATAACAATAGTAAATAAATTAATCGCAATAATAAAGCAATTACTAATATTCTTAAAATAATTAATAAACAATATCATAAAATAACTGTTTTCCTAATTACTAATAGTAAAGCTCTAATCCTTTTGAGCCAATAAATCGAAATAGTTAATAAAATCTTTACCAAAATAATCCAAATCAATATTAACCTCAGATTTCTCAACCTAAAATTGGAATGCAATAAAAGTAAGATTCGAATTATAACTATCCACAATAATAATAATAATCAGTTTACAATAAGTAAAACGATCTTTCATAATAATAATAATTTGAAGATCCATTTGCAATTTTAAATTAAATAAATAGTTAAAAAATGGTTGATTTGCCTCCTGTAAATTAAAACTCTATTAAATAACCTAATGATCTATAATAACCAAATAATAATTTAAATTAATAACCTAATAATTTATTAAATCAACAACCTAATAATTCATAAAAATAACAACCTGATAACTCTTTGAATTAACAACTTAACAATCCTTTAAATTAAAGTAGAGATGATGGTTTATAAAATTTGAACAAACAAACTTCTATTAAAGAAAATGAAAATGAAAAATTTATATCTCAAAGCCCTTAAAATTAAAGTAATTTATTATTTACTAATTATTAGATGATGTTACAAACATTGGAGGTAACAGAGATAGTAAATTTATTTAGAATGACTAAAAATTACATGGAAGTAAGTTTAGATAATAGATTTAGCATAATTGTCAGATCCTTTGAGTAGTTAGCGAATATTTGAAACAACTACAATAGATTAGGATATGGAATATAGCTAGCCAATTTATCAAGAAGCATAACCCTAGGAGAATAAAATAATAAATCATGATTTGAGATCTTTGGAAATATTGCATAAGTTTAAGAGTGGATTTGGTTAATCAATAGAGGAGTCATTAAGGCAATTGTAGAAAGTGTGTTTAAGTATTTGAGAGAATTATGCATATATTTTTAAAGAAAAAAAAATAATTATATAATAATTAATTTAAGAGTAAATGAAATTTGATGAGATATTTAATATTTAAATTAAGAAAATAACATTAACTAGCATTGAAAAAGTAATATTTGCTCTTTCTTTTCTTACATTCAATCTCATATATATAGAAAGTGTTGATTTTTTTATTCTTAGTGAATACGTCGAATGATGAATGTGCATGGACTTAACTTTAATAAGATGGTAATAATAAGTTTTTTGATTTGTTTCTGTCTTATAGATCTTCCTCGAAATTAATTTTTCCCACCTTGTATGGTACAAGAGAAGGAGAGTTAGAAGAATAGCAATTGTAAACTGCATATAGGGAACCTTCCTCTGTAGATAACTGAGGAGACATTGCAACGAGTATTCTCGAAATATGGTTAGATAAAGGAAGTGAAGATCATTCGAAAAAATAGTTAAGGGGTTAGTTTTTTATTTAAATAATATAAGTAACCTTTGAAAGATTATTGCTATGGGTTTATTCTTATGTGTGATGGTGAGGGAGCATATAATGCTGTGACTGAATTGAAGTAAAATAGTCCTTTAGGTACAACTTGGACTGTGGCATTCAGTAAGGACAAAAATGATGTATGTTTGTAAATGGTATTTGACATGAAGGACTCTGCCGGTGTTGGCCATTAGAAATTAGAAAAGAGGAAGGATGATAAACTAAAAAAATAAACAAAAGATAGAATGAAAAAAGATAAGATTAAGGCTAAAAAGAAGGTTGTAATTTTAATTCATAAAAATATAAGAAAACAGAATCATCTTCATCATCATCCAATTCTTCGAAAGAAAGATAGTTTAAAAAATAAAAAAAGAGGAAACAATCAAGTTCACCTGAATCATCTCCATCAAAATTACCAGAAAGGAGTGCCCTTGTAAGAATTGAAAGTATGCCAAAAGAAAATAATCTTTTTGAAATGGTATTTTCAGGTGAACCATAGTCTAATCAAGTATGTGTATGTTTATAAGTAGTAATTATAATCGCAATATTAAATTAAACATAATGTAAATGTAAGAGAATTATTTATATCTGGTATTCCTTAATCTAAAACATAATCTGATATATAGAGAATATTTTCTCATTATGGTATAGTGGAGAGAATAGATGTAATGCAAAAATAGTTAGTAAATTTTGCATATGTTAAATTTAAAAAATTGGATGCTGTAAATTAGGCAATATAAAATTAATAATATATTGCAGAGTAACTAGAGAGTGCAGGATAAGTAAAGATATATTAATCAGATCCATTTAAACGAGCATAAATAGTAGGGAATGCTGAAGATTGTGAGAAGGTAAAGATATAAATGAAAATAAAGGATGATGATATGTTACCAGTAATGTTTATAGGATTTCCACCAAACTAAAATTTTACTATAGATGAGAAATTCATAAGAAAAATGGCTGAAAAGTATGGAGGCGATGTGAAAGGTGTTTAACTATTCTTACCTTAATCCCCATAACTTAGATCATATGTTTTGATAGAATTTGTATAACTTAGAGATTGTAAGAAGGCTAGAAGGAAGTTTTGTAGATATAAGATACAAATATTAGGAGATAAGAAATGTGATGTTTCTATTCTATCAAATTATTCTACAAAAAATACATAGAATAAAAAATAAGCAAATCTTTTTATGCCATATGGAATGGGTATAAATGACTATGAAAATAATAGATTATATGACAGCAAATCAATAGATTCCGATGCATTCTTAAATGATGACAAGACAATTTAATATGATGCAACCATATGCTAATTATGGAGATTATAATTAAATGCCTATTATTTATCCTTAGTAATAATAATAATTATAAATGATGTATATTAAACCTTAAGCATCACTACCATTGTCAAATTAGTAATAATTTGGACCACCTTAATCGTAACTTACAAATCCTTATTATTAATAAGTCAATACCTAACCAATAAATTAAAATTATATGTCATCAAAATTTATGGAAATGATAATGCCTCCTACTCAAACTATAAAAACAGATGATATTAATACTACTTTTTGGAGTGGTTAGATGAATAGAGGTAAATATCATAAAGTTGGTATTGATGCTCGAATGTACAGTACATCTACTGATAAAAATAAAAGTATCATTATAATAATATTATGATTTAGTTAATTTACCTTGCAATTTAGAAATGAGTTATATTTGTTCATATTAAGATGCCTATCAAAGAGCTATATAAGATGATGATCAATCAGCTATTCTCATATTCAGTCCTGCTTAAGAATCTGATCATCCAAAATTTATAGAATTTATCTAATATTTAAAGAGTAAAGTAATTATTCTTTTCTATTTCTTAAGTAAAGGGCTGGAGTCATTCAAAATGATCTCTTTTCCATTTATGTTATTCCTCCTGGAGTACCTGAAGCACTACAAATTTGCAATATTAATCAAGAAGAAATGATTGCCATTTATTGTTAAAAAGATTTAAAGTTATGAAAATCAATCAACATTATCAAATCATATTCCTTCTTTTTTTATAAATTTTATTATAATTCAATTCTAATTAATCTTAATTCTAATAAAATATTTAACGTTAAATTTCATACATTAATTTACATGCAGAACTTTTCCTTACAAAAATCAATTCTTTTGTAAACTTTAAGGAATCCATTTATCTTCAAATGGAAATATTCCCATCTAAATTATTAAATTTTCATTTTCTGTCTTACGTGATTCTATCTAAAATCTTAATGGCATAAATTAAATCCTGTTTTACAATTCTCATCACTACTTTTATAGATTGGGACTTAAACTACCTTATTATTTGGAATTATTTAAAAATAATATTATGTTAAACAGAGTTTGTTTTAAAAGAAAAAACTACAAACATAATTTAACCTAATTAAAATTATTCAATAAAAATAACCTTCAAAAATTATCTACTACTTTAATTCTAGAAATATTATAATCAACGTTTAAGAATAACCTACTAAACTATATTTCATATTTTTAAAGGATGGATCATATCTAAACAAAGATCCTTCTTAACTGACTCTATTTTAAATAAGATGGGTTAGAAAAATATGTGGCTTTTAGAATTCATTATATATCTTTTCATTATTCTTAAACTCTAATCACTATTATTTTATATAATAATATACAATTTAAGTTTCAAGATTCTATTGCTAATATATTATCTATATAAACTAAATAACCAACCTCAGTTGTTGGAAAAACATTTACTAGTGATCTTGACTTTTCAGCTTATAAAATTACAAAAACAGAAATCTATAAGATTAATAAAGTTAAATATATCTAATACGAATATTATATATATATTTATTTAAGTTTTATACCACTATTTGGAGTATCACAATTGAAAAAACAGCTAGATGTTAAGAAATATGTTTCTAGAACTATTTTTCAAGCATTATCAAAGTTTTGTTTTGTATATTTTTATATAATAATGATATTCCCAATTTCATTCTTCAAGCATTTTTTTCCCTTTTTCTGCATATTCTTTATTTAATTCTTCCCAATTTTCCAAAACCATTTCAAATTGCTCAAAGATCATTGAATGAGTTAATCTATTTCTAGATGGTCCAACTTCCATTGAGTAAATCTTATGTGATGTATTAGTTTCTATTGTTCTGTTTAAGTAAACACCATAGCTACATTTAATTTTATCATTTACACATAATGTGGAATCCAAATTATAGCTGCTAAACCAAATGAAAGTCTTGTTTCTCTTCCAATGTAATCATCATAAAGACCTCTAAACCACCAATGTCTATTTCTTACTGCAATAGCTGCTCCCATTTATTTAAATATATTTAATTAAGATTTATTTTATAAAAAGGTAATATAATTATAACAACATTGATATGACTTTGATGTGGACTATCAAGTATATCACAACCTTAAATTCTCATACCAATTTACAGGTAAACTTATAATCTTTAAAATTTGTGTATTTTTATAAAGATATTCTCAATCAAACAATCTAGTTTATTTTAATACTAGTATTTCTTTTAAAAATAATTATAAAAAAATATTATCATATTTATTACCATTCCAAAAAAATAGAGTTATACAGTATATAAATTTTAGAACTGCTTTTAATTATTAATTAAAATTTATAATATTAACAGTTAGTAAAATGTATTATCATTAAGTGTTGAATACAAATCAAAGTCAGGCATTTGTGAGTACAATAAATACTGAAAGAGCAAGATGTCAGACATAACATTATAAAGAAAATTCTAAATAATTTCTCTATTAATAGCCAATTTAATAGCAATAGTAAAATTTGAATGAATAGTTATTAATTTAAAACTAAAAGGTATTGATTTTAATATAAACAACTTTAGCTTAATGATTAAAATATTAGATTATAGAATGAATGCAAGAGATTAGAATATCATTTGAATTTAATTTAACAGAATTTTTAGCAATTAAAATAATTATATGATTAAGATTAATTGGATATGCAACGTATAACACATTTTTGTCATCAATAATAATAAGAGCATAATGCTATGTAAACAAGAATACTTGACCTGGAATAAGAGAACTTTTAACTTCATCATGAAATAGATCATTATTAAAAGAACTTAAAGGATTAGGAATTTATGGAGAATTAAAGAAAAGAAATAGTGATTGGGTAATAAAAATTGATAGAACTTCAGGAAGAAATGAAAAAAGAAGTTGATTAAATAAAACATGATCCTTTAATGGAGATCTTGGAATTGTGGAGAGATAGAGCTTTAAAATCTTGCACTTATAATAGTTAATAATAATCAACCAAGAAAATTAATACAACAAAAGAGAAATATCAAAAATTGACAAGATTAACAATGTAAGCAGCTGAGTTATTAAGTTTTAAATTAAATTATAAATGATAACTAATCAATTAAAATTATTCTAGAGATTTTGCATTCATTAATAAACTGAGTTTTAAGTTAAAAAGTAGAGTTTTCATTATTTATAATTATTAATTTTTTCAATATTTAGAATTAACTAATCTTCATAACAAAAATTGAATTAATTAAAAAAATATATATTACTCTCTTTGATTCAAGAAGCTAAAAAAGCCATTACATGGATTTATTTTGAAATAATTAATTAAAAAGAAAAAAAACTTGCTATAAAATCATTAAATAAAAAATTATTTAAAATATATTGGAATTTAAAGAAAAATTTGAAATTCTTATTTACTTACTCAATAACATGAAAGTAACAAATGATTTATTATAAAATTTTAACTTTTTTTTAAATATGAGTAAAATTGTATAATTAAGTGATGATTAATCACAATAAAATAAATAAAATTAATAATTTACTTTGAAATTCAACAAATTTATCTATTTTAACATCCAAAAAGATTGTCATAATTTTCAATAAATTAAATAATAAAAATCGTGCTAATTTAATTTTAAATTAAGTATTTGGGAGATAATATAAAATAGAAAATAAAATTGGATAAGAATTTAAAACCAAGAAAAAAAGTTTTTAAAATCATAAGTTTCTATAAGATTGTCTTTAATACGTGTTAAAAATTAAAATCTCATAAATTAATTGTAAAAAAGTAGTATTTTAAAAATCAATTGAATATTTAAACAAAAGCAACCTCAATAATTTTAGGAAAATAACTAATAATTTTATAATTATTAATTATAAAAAAAATTTGATAAAATTACATTAACATTTAACATACAAAAATTAATTAAAACAATGTAAAAATATTGAGAAATCAATCCAAAATCAACCGAGATTAATGTACAAGTAAAACCAAAATTGAATTGAGAGCTTAAAAATTTCAGTATATTAGAAATGAATGCTAATAAAGAATAGATAACAAAAATACAAAATACAACTTTAAAATGTTTTTGGTTTGTATCTAGTAAATCTTGAAAAAAAAGTAGTTTTATAGAGTTAAAATTTAATACTTACTGTATGATTTAATGAAAATAATAGAAGTATTTTTTATTGTTATATTTAATAATAATTTTAATTAATATTATATTTATAAATTAATAGATATTTTTTTTTAATCAAGCTATTTAAATAATCATAGTCATAATTATTAGAATTTATGAGTTCAATTTATTAACAATTATGCAGGCGTTAAACAACTCAAGTTTTTCTCCACTATATTATATTTATTGGTCTCGATTGCTTACATTTAGTTAGTCTCCAAACAATATATTGATTTGAGCAAGTGACTGGTTATTTTAACACTTTAAGAAACACTATACTAAAATTTGATTGAAATATTTTCATAAATTGTATGTAATAAATTCAATTTGTGATATTGACGTAATGACATATTCAATATTTTATATATTTAACCGCAGATTCGGTTGTAGTATTTTAGGAATTAATTAAGTTCTTTTATTCGTTATATGTCTTTGATTGTTCGAAATATATCAAGTATTAGAGAAGAATGGAGATAATTAATGAAAAAGAAGATTAAAAAAACAAAAAGAAAGAATTAATATACTATACCATATAAGTTTGATGATGATATTTAGAATACTAAATAAAAAGACGATTCATTGCTTATAGTTTAAAATATCCCATCAACCATTCCTAATAATAATATTTTTAGATTAAAGGCAAACATTTAGTTTTCTTTAAATATAAACAAAGATTATTCATTAGGTTAGCTCTTTGTTGATCCTCATTCAAACAATTATAAAATTGTTAGAATAGATAAAAGGAAAAACTTGATAATACTAACATTAGATTAAATAGATAGGCCAATAACTCCTCCAGAAGTTTTGTATTCTATATTTAGAGATAGAAGCTCTGAATTAGCAAAAGCATTTATACAATATAATAATAGAAATCTTGATCTAACTAAATGCAAATAACACACAATATAAGAAATGTTAGATTTTGAATCAAAAATTTAAAGAAAGCCATATGCAGTGTATGTAAATATTTATAGAGATGGCATTTGGAAAACATTTTAAAAGATTTTTAACAAAGAATTATTACAAATTTTAGGTATTTCAGAAGAGATGCTATTCCATTATTGTAATGAAACCTAACTTATTCCTATAAGTGCCTTTTTTGATTAAAATGATGAATAATTGAGTGTATTTTACAAAATTTTTAAAGGAATTGTAGGTCAATAATAAATAAAAAGAGAATACATAAATTACAATGGAGAGCAATTTACTGCCTAACTCTTAGTTTAGAGTTTTTTTATTTATGATGAAGAAAAAGATTTGCTTTTTGATTATACATACTTTGTGACTGATTGTGATTAAAAATGGTTATCTGAAGAAAGAGTAAAATAAAATGAGTTAGATTATTTCAATATAAAGCCTAATTCTTGTTCAACAGAAGAATCTTCCTATTAAGAGCCATTAAAGAGATGTGGATTCAAAACTCTAAATTAGAAATGATAATATTGTTTATTATTATACATCAATTATATTCTTATAATTTAGTGAATAAGATAAAATAAATAATATTAAATAATTAATAGTTAGAATTGTTGCCAGAAGCTCTTTTTCTAAGAAATGAAAATATATATTTTTATTATTATATTTAGAGATTCTATTTAATGTAAACTACACAATATTCACTATTTGCCTAGGTATAATAATAAAAATTTAGTTTGAGAATGATGATGGTGAAAAAATAAAAATGGAAAAAATTAAGATTCAAATATAAAAAGAATTTTATTTTCATTTATATAAATACTATCATTTAAATCATTTAAATTGTATTTATATATAACAAATATATATTATATAAATTTTAATAATGAAATGATTTTCATAAATGTTAATGATTTAAGGAGAAAATCACAGTAATTAACTGAAACATTATAAATTATAATAAATCATTGATCATCATTTGCTTCTTCTTCGGGATTATTCCATAATGTAAGATTATCTCTTAATAATTACATGATAAGTGTGCAATCCTTATAATTTTCTTCATTTACAGTGTCAACTTAAGCAATTGCTTATTCAAAAGCCTCATTAGCAATTCTTATTGCTTCTGTTGGATTTTATAAAATTTCATAATAAAAAACAGATTGATTTAGATGTAACCCTAATCTAATAGGAGATGTAGTAGATAAATTTGATTTAGCCAAAATATCAGCATCTCTAATTATTAATATAATTTATACTTATAAGCTTAAGTTGCTTATTCAACAGCTCCATGATATTCATTGTCTAATAAAAATTCAGAAAGATATCTATTATAGTCTCCTTTCATCTTTAAATAGAAAACCTTACTATCAACTTACTTGGCATTAGGATATAAAGTGCTGTCTATTAGATTTAAAATTTCTGCACAAGAACTTTTTAATTCTCCCTCTATTTTATGTTTATAATTTCTAATATAGTTGAGAGTATATTAATCAGTTTATTTTCTTGATTCTTTTTATTCAATAGCAGTTAAGACTCTTAATTCAGCTCTTTTATTACCAACCTAATAATAAAGCAATAGATAATTTAATTACCACATTTTTATATGCAGCAGATAATATACTTCTTTCTTCTTTATTAAGTTCTTAATCAATGAAATGTTTAATAAATTCTATCATGTCATTAAATCTTTCTGTTTATTAAGCAATTTTGGCTAAAAAAAGAAATTCTTCTCTATTAAATTTATTCATAATTCTTAATTTTATTTATATATATATTAGATTACTCTGTAATTATAATTAATTTCAAATAGAAAGTTAATTTGAAAGTAAAATAAATGAGTGTTCATATAATTTTATAAAATTTAGGAGAACATATTAGTTGTAATTTGAATTAAAAAATTAATAAGCTCAAAATTTATTGATAAAATGGCATCACCTGTTTTGAATAAAGTAAGAGAGAGATTATTCTTTTTATCTCCAACAGTATAAGCAGGTTGGGAACCTGAATCAAAGAGAGAAGATTTTGAAGAATTAAAAATACTTGGATAAGGTATTGATATAATATTATATTAATTTAATTAGGGGCATTTGGTGTAGTAAAGAAAGTAACTCATAAGAAAACTAATATTGTATATGCTATAAAAATAGTTGAAAAAAATATGTTAAAGAAAACAAATATGGTTGAGTAAATGTAGAATGAAGTAAAAATAATGTATTCACTTAATCATCCTTATATTTTGAAGTTATATAATCATTTTGAGGATGACATTAATGTTTATCTAATTTTAGAATTTGTTGGTGGAGTAAAATTAAAAAATAAATTAGGGATAATTATATGGAGTGTTATGGAGATAACCATAAAAGAAATTTGATGAAAAAACTTCAGCTAAATTTATACTTTAAACATGTCTTGCCTTAGAGAATATTCATTCTAAAAATATAGTCCATAGAGATATTAAACCAGAGAATTTACTTTTAGATGAAAAATAAGATATTAAATTGGCAGATTTTGGTTGGTCTAATTTCTTAAAGCCAAATGAAATAAGATAAACATTTTGTGGAACTTTAGATTATTTGGCTCCAGAAATGTTAGAAAAATCTAGATAGCATGATCATTTAGTTGATATTTGGGCAATTGGTGTACTTTGTTTTGAATTATTAACTGGATTAAGTCCGTTTGCTCCTTAAATTAATATCAATAATGAAACATTTGTTGAAAAAACTACTAAAGACAATATAATAAATTTAAGATTTTAGTTTCCTCCTACATTCCCACATTTAGCATAAGATCTTATCAAAAAAATATTAGTAAAAGAAACAGGAAAAAGATTTTCTTGTTAATAAATTAAAGAACATCAATGGATTATTTGTAAATACCATATTTATTTAACATATAGAAAATACATAACATGTTAAAATTCCAACTTCTTTAACGGTTTAATAAGAAAAAAAAATAGTTAAAAATCCAGAAATTGAAAGTTTATAAAAAGATGGAAAATTGGTTTTTACCAAAGACTAAATCTATAGTTTTTCTAGACCTGATTCTGTAATATCAAATTTAATAATATTAAGATTATTATCAAAGATTTCTTATAAGGTGATAACTCTGGTAGTAAATTAGTTGAAGCATTAAATAATAAAATGAAAGAAAAAGATATCAAAATATAAACTTTAGAAATTGAAAATTAAAAAAAATAATAAGAAATTAATGAACATTTATCAATTATTGAATTAATGAAAAAATCTGGATAAGTAAGTTAAGAAGCTTAATCTATGCAACATAAATTGAAGTTATCAGATGAAAGATATTCAATCATGAAATAATAATATGAATAATAATTATCAAAAAATATAGAATTAGAGAAAAAAATTAGAGAACTTGAATCTCAAGTATCTTTTATAATTTACTGAATAGAATAATTAAATAGAATATATGAAACTCAAAATGAATAAATATAAAGAAGAGGCAGGATAATTCAAGGCAAGAGCACAAAAAGCAGAAGAATAAATTTAATAAATGATTATCTTAGGAAATAATGAAAAGGTTCAACTTTTGATATTATTTCTTAGGAATTTCAAGAAGTACCTAAAAAAGCATCTAATGTAGATGAGATCTTAAAATAATTATAAAACAAATATGATCCAAAATCTTGAATTATTTATTTATTAAATAAATTATTATTTAATTATTTTAACAATTGTTATTTTTCATCCCAATTTTTTTCTTTATTTAGAGAAAATCTGGTTATTAATAATTTTCTCTATAATTATTAATGAAAAAACAAAATTTTCATAGAAATGGTGGAACAAAAAAGAAACATCTAACATTTGATTAAAAAGTTATGGTTTTAAAAAAATTAGGACCTAAACCATCGAAATTAAGAATTTAAGCTATGGCATAACAATACAATATTTCATCATCAACAATAATGAATTGGATTGAGAAAGGAATTTGGACATAAATGCCTTCTGTTTTACCAGAATTAGATTTCCAATTAAACAAATAAAAATTAAAAATATAGAGAGAGAACTTTATCGAACTTGATGAAACGGATTAAAACAACACTAGAAATCCAAAAAAAGAAATTGATGAACCTTAATAAAGTCTATATGATTAAATAGAAATTATATTATGAAGACTTTATATTAATCTATATATCAATTTTGAGTATCATATTGTTCATTTTTTCTATATTAATTATTATTTACTTACAGCAAATGTTATTAAATATCTAAATCTAGTCTATTACTAATATTAATTATTTGTTCAAATGAATAAATGGTTTCTTGTTTTTCATAATATAGAATTAGAAGAACAGTTTTAACAAGGATTAAAACATGAAATAAGAAAATAAGTTTTTGTTGGAACTTTGATAGGATTAGTTATTATTGTTGGTTATGATCTCTTTGTTTAAATCTTATCATAAGATTACTATCATTTAATTTTCAATATCATCTTTTTAGGAATGGCTATTATATTAACTTTTGTCATTTGGAATAAGCAATACTTAATCAAATATGCACTCATCATAATCAATTTATTGATAGCTTCAGTTCAATTTCAATTAAACCCAGCAGTAGAATAGTAGTACAATTATATCTTTGGATAATCAATTATGGCTTCTCATGTAATTATTATCACAACAGCTGATTTTAAGCAATCGATTTTTTAAATAATTGGACTTGCATTGATTCGAACTATTATTATGTATCTTAAAACATCAACAGTTGATCTCTAAATGTATTGTTATATCATAATAATTATGGTGTTTTAGATATATGTTTAATATATAACAGATTTAGCACAAAGAAAATAATTTTTATTAAATATAAAAGAAAATTACTGGGGTATTAATTCACTTTATTACTTTAGAAAAATTTATTCCAAATTTAATTAGAAAACCATTTTACATCTTTAATTTCAAAGATAACATTTTTAAATTAACTCTCAAAAATGATAATCTAGATTTTTAAAAACTCGCTAATGATTTATGTGATGGATGCAATCTTAGAGAAATCCTTAGACATTGTAAATTAAATACTATTTCACTTGAAAATTTAATCATATCAAATTAATCCATAAATACTATTGGCACTCTTGATACTTTAAAGAACAATATTCAAAATTATTCCTTTAAAATTTTAACTCTTGGAACATTTTAATTAACATTTTCAAAATTTTAAACTGATAAAACTGAATATATAATAATTTTGGATAATTTTGAAAGTGTATCATAAAATAGCTCAAAATAACGCAGCTTTTTAAAAAATTTCATCATTAACTAAACAAAATTATTCATTCAGTTTCCTAAGAATCCAAAAATTATATATGCAAAGCTTATAGTATAAAATCTTAATGTATTATGTTTGCTAAAGTAACATGATAAAACAATTGCAGAGTTTGATTTGGTTATGATGATAAATAAACTGAGTAAAATTATAGGAAAAACTATAATTGAAATGCAAGTACAAAGAACAGCAATTAATATAATTGGTTTAAAAACTTCTTTGTTAATATATATTTTACAAATCTTTATCATAATAAAAAAGCTAAATCCAACTTAAAAAGTTAGTGTAAAAATTACAGACTAGGATATTTATATATTTTTACCTTTTGCTAATTTATTAACAATTATTTAATAGATTAGAAGAAATTATTTATGTAATTCTCTTCATAATTAATTGAAATTATATACTTCTGAAAATTCCTTATAGATTCATTTGAATGAAGAATTTTATTAGAAATAACCATGATAATTTATAAATTTTGTTTCAAATTTAATACTAAATTTTGATAATTTTTCGAAATTATATTGTTAATTTAAATTTCAGAAATAATAATTTGAGATTACATAATTAATAAAATGAATACTTTTTATTTAATTTGATACATATATTTATTAAATTAATAAAAAAGTTAAATGAATTATGATTACATGGGAGCAATAAAAGTGAAGGATGGCATATTTTTAGGGGATCTATTTGCATCTTAGGTATATATTTATAATTTTATCAGGATCTTGAATTTATTGTAACAAATAAAGTATCAAGAATAATGAATTGTGCATCAAAAGTAATATCAAATCATTGGGAAGAAATAGGGATAGTTTATCTGTCATATCCATGGACAGATAATGATCAATAAGTATTTTTAGAATTTATTTAGATTATTTTTTAATCAGATGAGAGTATGAATAGTGCAATAAAATTTATTGATGAT